TGTAATGGCTCCGTTCCCGGAACCAGCTCTTTCAGTCTTTAGGAAACACAAGGTTGAGTGTGCTTCAAACAAAGACATTGTCTTTCCCTCAGCTGAACAACCAAGAGAACATTCCCCTTAGGGCTCTTGAGAAGAAGTCACTTGGATCCATTGCCAAACTCAGCTAGAATTCCAGTTGCTTTCCCCCAACCCAACCGACCAGAAAATTCCCAGGCTCCATAAGAACAGAGGAAAACCACCAACCTATTTTTGTAAGATAATAACGGCCATCGCCATTGACAAAATCCCCCATTTTGTCAATTGCAAAAGGCAGCTTTGCTCGGAACAGCTTACATCCTGCGGACGACACCTTTAACACCAACAAAGAACGATATCTGCCATCCCAGGTCCTTGGGAAGGGCTCAAAAGGTGGACAAAAATGCCAAATGCCATCTAAGCTTCTGACTGTGATAAGCCATAATAATAATTTATTATTCAAACACTTGAACGCTATTGGCATTGACAACATGCCCATCAGTCAGTTGCAAAAGGCAGCTTGACTTAGAACAGCTTACATCCTGCGACGATTCCTTTAACGCCATCAGACATAATAATAATAATAGTAAAGTTGGAAGGGACCTTGAAGGTCATCTAGTCCAACCCCCTGCTCAGGCAGGAAACCCTATACCATTTTGGACAAATGGCTGTCCAGTCTCTTCTTAAAAACTTCCAGTGTTGGAGCATACACAGCTTCTGGAGGCAGGTTGTTCCACTGGTTAATTGTTCTCACTGTCAGGAAGTTTCTCCTTAGTTCTAGGTTGCTTCTCTCCTTGATGAGTTTCCACCCGTTGCTTCTTATCCTGCCTTCAGGCGCTTTGGAGAATAGCTTGACTCCCTCTTCTTTATGGCAACCCCTGAGATATTGGAACACTGCTATCATGTCCCCCCTCGTCCTTCTCTTCATTAAACTAGACATACCCAATTCCAGCAGCCGTTCCTTATATGCTTTAGCCTCCAGTCCCACATCAGGTCCTTGGGAAGGACTCAGTAGGTGGATCAAGGTGGTTGGCTGTACAACCATAATAATAAGTTAGCATTGCAGTGTGATCAGGTGAGTCCCCTTACCTGCTTACCATGTGCTAGTTCAATTTCCATTACTGTATTGATTGACTGGAGAAAAGTACTATGAATATTAGATTGGTTTTTAGCTGAGAGGGAACGCCAAGTGAAATAACACCCTTAAGAAGATTATATGTGATCTGATAGAAGGTCCATTCGCTACAGTCTGCTGCTACCTGCAAAGATGTTCTTGAGAAGTTCAGAAGCATCCCATTACCTAAATCCCTTAAGGGGCATTTCTTGATTTGAATAAACCCCTGAGCACTTCCGAAGTTCCAAGGATTTTATTCATGTCCCCATTCAGTCACCTTAAAAATTACAAGAGAAATGCTGTTTTCATTTCCAGTGGCCTCTTCTCCATCAGAAGGATTATGGTGACAATTACAAGATCATTTCGGCCAAAGAACAGATGCAATCCACAAAGATTAGGCATGCCCAGGTCACAGTGAAATAATACTGTACTATCCAATCAAGACTGCATCCAAATGTTCAAAAGACAATGCCTTATCTATACTAATAGGTCCAGAAAGAGCTGTTTGAGACCCACAAAGCTTAATCCCTGGACTGTACCAATTAAAGTTCAACATATTCAGCAAACGACAACCCATCACTCTCTCCTTAATTGGTACCACTCTTCAACCAGAAGGAAATGTCTTCTAATATTCAACTGGGACGTGGTTTTCCTCTCAGTTTTATCCACAATTCCATGCTCCAGACTCTAAGGTGACAGAAGAAAAGAGTAGACTTTCTCCCGTGTCCTTAAAAAATATTACTACCCATCTCCTATTATCTTTTCTGAAGGAAAAACACATCCAGTTCTCTCAAATTCTCCTGGGTCAACTTGGTATGTTTCTTGTCCCCTGATCATCTAGACTTCCTTTCTCTGCACCTAGGTTCTCTGAATCTTTTGGGGGGGTGTCTTTTTTTGGGGGGGCAGGCAGTATCCAACACTGGACAAAGAATTTGAAAGGATAGGCCCAATGCAGAACAAAGTTTCCATGGACAATTGTTCTTCTCGTGAACTGAGGGATACCCAGACAATTTAAGGATTTTAACCTCAACCTGGACATTTTGTGCTGTCATCCATCATCTGGCACTCTCTAAACTTTCTGTGACTGCTGCAAATTTTTGAAAACCACAATTCTAATGCCGTAGGATTGGGAAGGGATGTTTGAATCAATTCTCCACTGTTTTCGCAACTAAACCCAAGTTCCATCAATTTTGATAGTATCCCTTCTTTCATCTTTGTAGAAGTCTTTTAATGTCCATAAAAATAGACCTGGACCTAAGAATCAAGACCCTGAGGCCAATGGCCCTCAACCATATGGCAGTGATCAAAGGTTTACTACCTCTTTCTCCAGTCACGATTATTTTATTTCCCCCATGCATCACAACAGGATAAGCAAAATGAAAGGGGTAAATAAACACTATTTGCAAACAAAAGTTTTCTTTAAAAAAAAATACAGAGAGAATAGAATACTGCCACGTTTTACAGGAAACAGATTTTACATTATGTGTGTGGATTGGTTGACTGGTTGGTTGACTGATTGATTGAGGTATACCAATGTTCTTCAACTTCTCCACTTTAAGACATGTGGATTTCAGCTCCCAGAATCCTTCAGCCAGCATGAAGTTGAAGCCCACACATCTTAAAAGTTGCCAAGTTGGAAAAACACTGTTTGGCACTAATTTGACACTGATTTGGTGTTTGTTGAGTATCTCAAGTGGCCAAAATAATTTATTCAAGTCATTGTCAAAGATGAAGGACGGATGACTGGATGCCCAACAGGGCTTCACAATTCCTTCCAGGTCAAAGCTCACCACTTGCTTTTAATAGACTTTAAATAGCCTGTAAGTAACATGCTGGGAGCTTTCTGCCAAAACAAAAACAATCCAAGAAAATTCTGAGTTTTATCTCAAGTTAAAAACTCAACCGAGTTGATAGGATATTTTACTCTTTCCAGTTGGGCGTTTAATCATTTTTACCTTAGATCACATTTAAAATTACTATTTGGTGCAATGTCTGGAAGTCTTCGTGGGCTATTTCTGCAATGCTTCATGGGGAGGGGGGCCATAGGGGCCATCGATCCCCAATTATAATATGGGTTATGTAGTCTCGCTAGATGAGATGTTCAAAACGAGTAGCCTACGTTGTTCTAGAGAAGTGAGGTTGGATGTAGCTTGTCAGCCCAACCAGGAGAAATGAAAGTTGAGGCACACAGCAAGCAGATTCTCCATCGCAGAGTTAAAGATCTGGAGATTTTACATTGCCTGAGGAGAGCTTTGGAGGAACCAAGGACGCATAAACCTGGAATGCAACTCAAAGTGCAAAACAATAAAAAATCTAAAACCCCATAAAGTCACTGACAACCAGCTACCTGCTCTCCTCTTCACAACACACAGTGATTTGAATATCTAAGAGACCGGACATCAACACTGAAAAAACATCTGCATTAAAATGAAGGTGCCTCTCTTTTCCTTTGTAAAGCTATGAAACACCACGGATCGCCTTTCTTTTTTTTTTTTTTTCTTTTTTTTTAAGTGCACAAGTTTTAACGTAAAAGACGAGCCAAAGAGGACTTTTAGACAGTGAGAGAGATGAAACTGTTGTATCTCTGGATGTTCCTCTTGAGGATTTCAGAGCAAGGGCCAAGGACTCGTTCGAAGCGTGGCCGGTCCAGCTTAACACACTTCAAGGGCCCCCGGGCCACCACAGTAGCTGCCCTGGGCCTGTTGAGCAACAGGGCGATTTCCCCTGGAAATGGGAAGAAAAGGTAGCGTCATCATCATCGTACATCTGGAGAACATGCCTTTGATCTCGGTTAATACCGTTAGCTATTTCCAGATCAGGAACCTAGTCTGCAATTATTCTGCCCTATTTGGCACACCAAACGAGAAACCCAGGCACCAATGTCGTCTTTAAAAATATACTAAGGAAGAAACGAGTGGAATGATTTGAGACTGCAAGAATCGCTTGTCTTGAAGGGATCGCCTATCTCCTTTGTCCTTTTTGATCCACTAGTTTGATTCTTCTCAGTCGTCAATGCTAAGGTCTTCTCCTCCATTTTTCTTCCAAGGTATTCATTGCTTCCTTATTACCACTTTGTCTGATCATGGTCTATCCAAAGGACATCACAGGAGACCAAAGAATGCCTATCTAACATCACCTTGTACACTAAAGTCTTTAGATCAGGGGTCCTCAACCTTGGCAACTTTAAGACTTGAGGACTTCAACTCCCAGAATTCCTCAGCCAGCTTTCCCAAGGTTGAGGACCCCTGCTTCAGATCATGCTTTACCCTTGATATTTAACACTAATATGGAGTTCTGCAGATGGGGTGGGTAAAAATTTCCCACAATTCCCAACTGGCATAGTTGTAGGATATATCCATAACCCCCCAATCTCCATAATTATTAGGGAAGAAGGATGAAAGCTCTCTCCCTCCAAGAGGTGATCAGAAGGCCCTTAGATCTGCCCAACCAGTGATATGCTAGTCTACGCTTCCAGTAATCACCGATGGTGCATTTGTGAATCCTGCCTGTGAAGAACACCATGTACTGAGAAATCCGATTCTTCCATAAATGCCAAAGCTGATATTTTTCTGATGTTTGTGAGCCCTTCCATTCCGTGGAGCTTACCAAAATAATCAGATGGCCCCAGGCGCCCAACTTCGACATATTCCTCTTTGTCAGACCTACGCTGAAGGACCGAAGCCGTGCCCTAGAAGAGAAGACCAAAAGGATCAGGCATGTATCACCGAAACATCGTGTTCCTTTGCTTACATCTGGGGCAGTGGCCATTTCAGACACGCTTTGCAGAAGGTGTTGGGGTTCTCCTGTTAAAAGATGCTTCTCAAGGTAAAAACAGTACAGGTAGTCCTCGACTTAAAACCATCGGCACTTGGTCCAAAAAATAAATCAATTTTGCAGAGGCCTTGTTTGTTCTTATTTTCTCTTTTTCTGAGCTGAATAATGGACCGCCAGGCCAAGGAATGAGAGTCTTGCTTAAGGCAAACTCCCATCATTACTCCATCTGTTAAATCAGAGGTCCCCAACCTTTTGGGCACCAGGGACCGATTCCGTGGAGAGAGGTTTTTCCGCGGACCGGAAGGTACGTGGTTTTGTGTGCTGCCTGCATCCCGCGGATGGGGCTTTGCTTGTTTGTGCAGACCGGTTGCTGGCACGCTGCGGCCCGGTACTGGTCTACGGACTGGGGGTTGGGGACCCCTGTGTTAAATAATGCCTGTGGCCACTTCACAACACAAAGCCCCTCACAGGGAGCACTAAATCAGGGAGGAACAATATTTGGGAAATTATTATTATTTTTTTGCCACGCACCCCTTTCAAAAACAGCTCCAAACCCTCCATAAGATATTGATGGGAAAACCTGGATTCCTACTGCACCCTTAATAGACTTATTTTCATTTACAGGCTACCAACTTCTGAAAGCATTCATCCTGGGGAAATCGGGAGAATCAGAAGCGCAGGAGATCTGATTCTCACCTGGTGGGCCAATCTCCAAAACATAGATACAGGCACACCCGCACACACACACACCCCGTATCTGAAATATTTATTGCCTTGTAAAATACAGCATGTGACTTCAGAAGGGATTGTAAATTCCTAAGCGAGGCGTTTCAATTCATCTTGAGTACCCTAAGTATGGCGTCAGGTTCTCGTATTATGACTACTCACAGAAAGTCCCCCCCACCCCCCACCCTGTGGCATCACCCTGCTGAACACCTCGTTCCCACAGCAGTGTCTTGGGCCTAAAGATATTTACCCATGTAGTAGGCTGCGTTGCTATTATCCGTGTCATCTTTCTCGTCTTTCTCATTTCTCATCTTTCCTACTATCTTCTCCTATTGGTGTCTTATGATTTATCACTTGCTGCTTGTACCTTATGATTAATGTTTGTAACTAGGATTTATGATGTATGACCTTTCACTATGTTGTTTGTATGTACACGGAGAGCTTCTGCACCAGAGACAAATTCCTTGTGTGTCCAGTCACACTTGGCCAATAAAGAATTCTCTTTTTTCTCTTCTCTTCTCTTTTCTCTTCTCCTCTCCTTTTTTCTCTTCTCTTCTCTTCTTTTCTTTCCTCTCCTCTCTTCTCCTCTTCTTCTCTCTTCTCTTCTCTTCTCCTCTCCTCCCATATTCTATTCTATTCTGTTCTGTTCTGTTCTGTTCTGTTCTATTCTATTCTATTCCCATTGTTCTATTCCCATTGTTCTATTCTATTCTATTCTATTCTATTCTATTCTATTCCATTCCATTCCATTCCATTCCATTCCATTCCATTCTTACTCTACATTCTATTCTATTCTATTCTATTCTATTCTATTCTATTCTATTCTATTCTATTCTATTCTATTCTATTCTATTCTATTCTATTCTATTCACAATATTCTTATTTGCACCTGGTATCATGATTGTACCGGATATTGTGAGATTGCTGTCTGTTTATGAAAGTGAGACCTTGAAGGTTGGGGGCACAGAAAGATTCTGAATCCCCAATCGGTGGCTAAGGCAGAGTGTTTTTTCTAGGTCAGCTCCTGTCGTTCTCACCACCCGGAGCTCAGATTAACTCAGTCCAGAAGTGGAAATAATAACAGTTCCCGAAGAACTGTTTTTAGAAATTCCTGGGATCGGGGAAGATTTATTGCTTTGACTACCAAACGTTTATTAGCCTGAAGAGTGATTCTCTCCCCCCCCCTCTAGCCCAGGAGCTGTTGTGAGGTCAAATCTCCTCCTGAAATTTGTAAGACATCAGGAATCTGAATAATGTAAATTCAACATCTCACAAGAGCAGGCTGCTTGCTAGCCTTCGGCCTCAAGAAAGCAATTCCGAAGCCTGAAGTCAACTGAAATATTCCCATGAATGTTTTAATTCAGTGGAGGAGGAACGGGAAATGGGTAGCTTTTCAGAAAACTTCAGTCAATCTGGTTAGTAATGAAGGATGCTGAGATTTGTAGCTGAGTGACAATAGGCTCTCTACTCTAGCAAACTCTTTTTTACATGGATATAAGGAGTAGATTTGGATATGACTGCATATTCATGCTGTTCGATTCTCCTTTCATCTAGCTAAGAAGTTACTCTTGGGAGGTTAGAAGAGATTCCTCCAGGAGTTCAAGGGGATATAATTTTTCCCGCCATTTTTTTCCCCCGCACAACCCTGTGAAGTAGTTTAGGCTGAGCCAGGAGTTCTGATCCAATGTCCAAGAAGGTTCAATGTGGCTGAATGTGGTTCAATGTGGACTTGGACCTGCATCTCCCAAGGTCATCCAAGGAGCTTCTGTAGGACTTAGGGTGGACTTGGACTGCATCTCCCAAGGTCATCCAAGGAGCTTCTGTAGGACTTAGGGTGGACTTGGACTGCATCTCCCAAGGTCATCCAAGGAGCTTCTGTAGGACTTAGGGTGGACTTGGACTGCATCTCCCAAGGTCATCCAAGGAGCTTCTGTAGGACTTAGGGTGGACTTGGACCTGTGTCTCCCAAGGTCATCCAAGAAGTTTTATGTGGTTAAGGGTGGACTTGAACCTGTATCTCCCCAGTTCTGGTCTAATGCCTTCACCACCAAACCAATAGCTCTCTATTACTGAACAACTGACTAAATATACTATGGAAAATAAGTCTTTTTTTTTAATGCCCAACTCTCTCTTAGCTTGAGCCAAGCAGAAGCAAATTTCTAGTCACATCCAATCCAATGGAAATTGCTGTTGGCTGCAGCAGTTGGACTGAATTCGAGAAGAGCAAAAAAAAACAAAAAAAAAAAACATTCAGCTTGCAAATGTTCAATCCTTTCGTTCACATGCTGGATAATTTACCAGAAATGAACGAGAGCGACATTAAGCCTCAGAGTCACGATTAGCTTGAATCATACCAGTGGCTGAAGCTCAAGCCATCGAAATTATAAGTTTGGGAACTGCGACACCCTAATCGCTCCAGCAGATGCTCTAGGACTCAACCCAACCTCAAGGTGATGTTTTGAAAACCCTTTAAAAAAAATTATTATTTTTTTTTTTTAAAGACAGAGCAGCTGCTTTTCATTTAAACTCTACACCGGCGTACTTTGGAGCCCGTTCAGTTCAGTTTCGCCAGTCTTTGCTTGCAAACACACTCCTGCTTTTTGGCCTGCAATATTCATTACCCCGTTGAATAGAGCTCGCCCGAATGGGCCTCAGGATTTGTGTTTCAAAATTAAGCCCTTTCTTGGAGCAATGTCCAGCAACCAATTCATGCTATTCTTGGTTCCTGAAAATTAATTGGACAATAATGGGATGAAAGAAACCTGGTTGGGTTTGGAGAGACACCAGTTTCCAGCAACAGGAAGGATGGGTGAGTTCTTCGCTAAACTATAAATTATGTGGCTCTGGAGAACCACACGTTTCTTCCTAAAATACCAGCCAGATCTTGAAAAGTCAAGAACTCTAGAGTTTGTTTCTTCCAGCGGCTTCCTTACAAGCCCATATTAGCTCATCTTGACTCTATAGCAAAATAGAATTCAAGAGGAAGAAGAATGACTGAACAATTGCCGCATTTCATGCAATCCAGCACATGGCTTGGGGGAAGCTGAAGTCCAAGCCAAGGACAAGGGCAGAGAAACTGCCTCCTGCCTCCAGTGTTGGTCATCTCATTATTAAAAAATATGTTGAGACTTTGGAAAAAGTGCAGAGAAGAACAACAAAGACGATTAGGGGGCTGGAGGCTAAAACATAGAAAGAACAGTTGCAGGAATTGGGTACGTCTAGTCTACTGAAAAGAAGGACCAGGGTTGACATGATAGCAATCTTCCAATATTTGAGGGGCTGCCACAAAGAAGAGGGAGGGGGCACCTATTCTTCAAAGCATCAGAGGGCAGGAGAAGAAGTAAGAGATGAAAATTAACCAAGGAGAAAACCAACTTAGAATTAAGGAGAAATTTCCCGAGAATGAGAACATTCAACGGATGGAACAGCTTGCCTTCCGACGTTTTGGTTGATCCATCGCTCTCGGATTTTAAGAAAAGATTGGACAGCCATTTGTCTGGAATGGTAAAGGGGCTCCTGCTTGAGCAGAGGTTGGGCTAAAAAACAGGAAGTCTCTTCCAACTCTGTTATTCAGTTGCCCCAAAAAGAAGCCACCTTAACTTTGACCAGATTTGGTCAAGTGACCTTCCCTCAACCCTAGAAGAACTTCTGACTCAGCTGACTTGCTGGATGAACCAACAGGAAGAAGGAGCAGAAGGTAGTCGATGAAGCCTATCTGCACCTCGCCCCCTTCTTGCTTAGCCAGGAGGTGAGTCTGGCCCACTCCTCTTTTGTATCCTCTCCAACCTTTGTTAGGAGGACTTCTTGGGAAAAGGCCTCGTCCCTCGGGAGGAAGGAGAACAAAGCCATCGAGCTGGCTCACGGGCTCTTTTGGGGGAGGCACAGAAATAGCCACCAGATCAGAAAAAGGAAGAAAAAGGAGAAATGCCTCTCAGGATGACAATACATCAAGACTGGAGTGTAGCAAAAACAGCTCAGCCACAGAGCGTTTCCGAAAGGTCCATGAAAGGGTAGGACTGCAGCTTAGGCGCAGCTCCACCCCATGGGCTATTAATCACCAGGAAATGCCTTTTCCTTGATCCTTTCCCCCCGCTACAAATCAAGGAAGGGGAAGGGAAATGACCGGCTACTGTAATGGGGCTGAGTGGACAACTCGCCAACTCACCATGGTCAACTAGCCGCAGCCAA